TGTTGTTGATTTTCCACAGACTGCACTGAATCTGTATTTGAAGTATGTGAAAACTTTTCAAATGTCTTTGTGGATAAGGTGTCTAATATGAGAACTCAGATATCACCATATGCAATTTACCCATCATCTTCTTTTCCCTGCTCTGCTGCCTTTTACCAGTTTTTTAAGCCTGTGACTTTACCTTTTTTATATGAGGTTGTTGGTCAACAGAAGTCCTCGGGTTCCCCACAGATGCAGTCCCACCCAGACTATTTAAAAGAGGTGATTTCTGCTTTGGGGCCAGTTCTTGTTAGTAACAGCAGCTTGTCCTTGACTGTAACTCCAAAAGACTTTAGGCTTATGTGCAGCACTTTGTGACTCTGTCGAGAAAGGTGCTATATAAATAAAATTGTATTTTCATTATTTTATTTTATCATGTAACCTAATTAGAAAGTCTGACCTGGCTTCCAACATGATGTCCAATTTTAGAGCAATCTCCAAGCTACCTTATTTCAAACATTTTGGGGAAAAAAAGAGTCTATATTATATTATATATTATATTATATTATTATAATATCTTTTTAAGGGATTTTAGTCTGGTTTAAATTTTTTTCATAGGACAGTACCTGTACTACTAAGGGTTTTTAATGACATTCTTTTAGCTACAGATGGTTGGAATTATTTGATCCTAGTTTTTACTAGATTAATAGCCTTTGCTACAGTGGGTCACATTATTCTGATATTTTGTTTGGAACATTTTGCACACATTAATGGCACTACCCTGAATTGGTGTAAGTCCTACCTGGCTGAAAGAACATTTTGTTATCTTTAATAGATTTAAGTCATCATGTTCTCCTTGTCATGTTGGGTACCTCAGGGCTCAACCCTTGGGCCCCTGCTATTTTTATTAAATCTTCTTCCCCTGTGCTCCATGTTTAGAAAGCATAAACGTGCTTCCCAGTTTTATGCTGGTAACAGTCAGGTGTATATGCCCGTTAACTTAGAAAAACCTTAAATGTCTTGATAAAGTAAAAGTTATTGCTGGTGGGTCTCCTCCTTTAGATTTGGGCCTTCTTACACAATACAAAACATTTTGTCACTAACCTGGGTGTCAAAATGGACAGTGATTAAAAGCAATTCAGTGCTGTGGTGAGAGCGAGTGTCTTCTTTTTTATTTACCATATACAATTGGTCAAACACAGTCTTCCAGACTTCACTTTAACATTCTGTAGTTTGTTTTTAAGTCTTTAAATGACCTTGCCCCACTCTCTGAGCTCTTACAGGTGCACTCACCCTCCTAGTCACAAATGTCAGCTAAGTTGTGGAATTCACTGCCCTTGCATATTACACATGCTTCTGCACTGACGTTTTTTAAGTAACTATTTAAAGCCCACCTTTTTTCATTGGCCACAGTGAGAGAGTTGACTTTAAAAATGTTTTATTATTATTATTAATGAATTTGAATTTCTATTGTGAGCTTAATGATGAGCATTTTAGCCAGCATATTGTTTTAAAGCACTTTATAAAAAGTGCTTTGAAGCAAAAAAACAGCTAGGCTTGGCTGGGCTTTGCGTGTCTCTGCTAATGAATGTGTCCTGTACTACCTGTAGAACAAGTTGGCTGAGTGGCTGGATTTTACTGACGTATAAACAATTCACGCTCACCTACTTCTTTCACTTTTCAGAAAGACCTACATTTAAAAAACGTCATTGTATTCAACTTGGTAATCATTTGTTATAGTCATTAACTAAAACATGTCTATGAATCTGTCATTGTTTAGGGGGGATTAGTAGTAATGGCCATATGACACCAATGCTCCAATACAAGCCTCCAACTCCAATTTGTATTTTCCTTGAACCACTGCTTCAAAGCTTGCTTTAATGCCGGAGGGCAGACAAACAAACACTTGGCCCGTGATGTCTCCTCACGTCTACTCCACCTTGAATCTGCTTGAAGCAATTGATACTGCTACACGAGATTCTTTGTAACATTTTATTCCCATGTGAATGTGTGTTTTCGAAAGCTGGAGAAGTTGCTAGCAAGAAACTAAAAACCAAAAACAAACCAATGTAAAAATAATTGTGATTAAAAGTCTTTAAATCCCGGTCCCATGTAAGATTAGTCACACCCCGCTTTAGTTACACAAGCACACCCTATCATCCCACCACATCCTGTTTCCAACTGCTACAATGCAATTGTTTTGTTGTATTTGTATCAATCATAAAAACCGTTATTGCACTCAGCACACGATTATTGAGACATTGTTTTGCTTTGTCTTAATTTGCCACTAAAACCTATTTTCAATACAATTCATTAAGTAGTTCAATACTGATTCATTGCTTCATTTGCGCATCACTAGGAATTAAGAGGCAAATGCAGACTCCAAGACTGATTTGAGGAAATGAAAAATAAACCTTTGTGGGGCGATCATGGCTCAAGAGTTGGCTGTTCTTCTTGTAATTGGAAGGTTGCCGGTTTGGTCCCGGCTCCGACAGTCTCGGCTGTTGTTTCCTTGGGCAAGACACGTCATCTGTTGCCT